CAATCCTAGTTGTGATCAATCTTGTCATGTTGTTATCTGGTTTTAGTTTAGCTTCTTGTGTACATTCATTTTTGTTTTAAGGCCTGGTTTGAATTTGGTAGGATACAGATGGTTCGAAAATTGTTGTGGATATTTTATTGTGTATTAATCAAGGACTGTGGATTTTTTAGGTCCAATTAGTTAAACCTATTCGATTTTGTATTGTAGTTTTTCATGGCAATGGTTTGAATGTGTGTCAATTCGGACCATTTATTCTAAAAAATTGGTATAGGCTCTAGTCCCATTGTTTGTATCCAAGTTTGTTCCCATATAGCTGGAAACCTATTTTAGCATATATGTAATTTACCATACAGTTCTGCCGTTGTTCCCATGTTGGGCTCTTGCATTTTAAAGAGACTTTCCAATGAATCTAAGACTTATTTTAACTTTGGAAATCTTCAGACTCAAATTAGTTCATCATGTGTGGTCTTTCTTTTCCTTTGAAAAGAGTAGAATCAGTTAAGTCCTGTTAAAAACACCAATTTGAATCACATATCCATGCGTTTGCAATTGCTGAATGTTGACATTAGATGACGGTTAATTTGTGCGACTGGAAATTATGTTTTGCCGTAGAATACATGCATCGATTTCAAAGTGTGTTTTACATTTGGTTCAAGGGTTATTAGTATTTGTCCAATTTCAGATTTCTTGAATGATAATTGGTTTCAAATATATCTGTTGAATCGTGGGTTGGGTTATCATCGTTGGCCCAAATGCAACTACATTCTCCTCCGCAATCAAGCTGCCAAGCTGGGCTTCACTTGGAGCCCAGTTACTTCGCATATTAAGGCAGCTTTAATGGGCAACCCAAACATAGTTTCGACTAGCCCAGCCATTCCATAATATGATAGGAGTAGTTTGTTACTAGTTCATTGTTTATTAAATTATTAGCTTGAGTTAGCATAATATAGGTAGGAGCTCCCTTCCGTTTTGTAGTTAATTAGCCATGTCCTGTAAATTAGACTCGAGGTATGACACCAAATACAATTGAATAACCAGTGGCCTTCGCTTAATTAATCTAAATTCTTAGAAATCGAGGCGTGCCATTTAGTCAAATTTTTATGGCCCTCGCAAAGTTGAAAGTGCGTAGTTACTTTAGGAGCGCTATTTTAAAAATTACTTTCCTAAACTTGGGTTTGCATTTCATGTGACCCAAATCCAAATCCTAACAACGTTAAATAAAATATGTCGCGGATCACGGGTGCATTTCATGTGGCGTGATCCAAAGACGTGTTTTGTATAACGTTGAAATCTTCCTAAAATAAATAAAAGCGGCTTAAGAGTAAAAATGCACATAGGTTTTAAAAGTGTTTTAAATCAGATAAATAGGCCAATAATAACAGTTGAGCGACCGCGCTAGAACCACGGAACTCGAGAATGCCTAACACCTTCTCCCGGATTAACAGAATTCCTTACCCGAATTTTTATGTCCGCGGACTGTAATACAGAGTCAATCTTTTCCTCAATTCGGGATTTGAACTGGTAACTTGGGACACCATAATTATCCCAAATGGCGACTCCGAAATTTTAATAAAAAATGAGCTCGTTTCGATTGTCACTTTAAATTAGAAAAAACTCCCTTATACCCTTGTGGGTATAGGTAAAAAGGAGGTGTGACAATGTCTATGAAGTCTCTACTGATAAACTGACGCACTGCTCAGGACATGAGATTTCCTGGTCAGTTCTCTAAGTAAACAAAGAAATAACTAAATAAAGATGACTCTAAGGAATACTCCACGAACAAAAATGGAGCTCACCACTAGCATTGGAAGAGAAGGAAGTCCTAACCTGTAGCGAGCTCGCCTGCAAAACCAGTTCCTACGTTGTACCACAAACCAACGTAAGTTCCCGAGAGAGAACGTCAATACCATCCATTGTACTCAGTGAGTCTCAACAACAGGGGACGAAACTTTAATAACATATACATTAAGAGCAAATGTTCTAAATGCATGTAAAACATAAAGCTTATAAGAATAATTCTAAATAATTGCATAATAGAAGTTTATGAATATTCTAAAATAAAATCTTTTCTTTTTCCTTCTTATGAAAAAATACTTCACTTTATACTTTGGGAGTTCCAACTATCCTGACCTGTTTCTGTCTTAGTCACCGTGTGATCGGTACAGGTTCGATCCCAACCTGATCGAATAGGCCCAATCCATGAGGTGCCACTCGCTTCATTGTTCTCAGCGCTCATGTATCATACCTTAGCTTAGCTAAGTAAATTCTCAGAAACGAGACCCTAGGCTCACGTGCTCCGTACATTGGCACAAATAGTTTCAGAAAGTCAACGTCTTGGTCAGGACCCTCGACCTGGACAATGACCCCTTCTCATAATAAAGGATACTCCCAAAACTCTTTTCTTTCTAAAACTTCTTCTTGTGACTTTTCAAGTCTAAATCTTTTCTGGAACATCCAATACATACTCTTACTAGTATCCTTAAATGCAAAACTTTTTAATTGATACACACTTGTCTATACAATTTGTATATTATGTTTATGCATATAATACCCACAGATACATATAATGCTGTGCTTATATTATTAAGCAATGGCGTTACTTGTTATATTTTGTGTTTTCCACTTGTTACAGATAATAGAAAAGAGTAGTGATAACAGTATAGTAGTGCACTGTTTGCAACTGTTTCAATTAAATGGAATTTCAGCACATGTTGTAGTCTGTTATAAAATTAGTTTCCATCTCAATTGATAAGTGGACTTTCATCATCAATTCTTTGTCTTCTACTCAAATATATTATTGGGAAATACTTCTGTAATGATCTCCACTTCAAGTACATAGAATAAGGGTTGATTTAGGTCATATGTATCCAAGTTTGACATCCTTAAATACTAATTTTCTACTAACCAGACCATTGCTTATTCCAAATAGTGGTATGAACTTATCTGGTTTAAAGCTCGGACTTAGATGCAATAAACATCTAAAAGTATTTCTAAAGATTCTTGCTTCTTCATAAATTTTCAACATGAAAATAACATATAAGAATAACACAAAAATCTGAAAATTTATGCACATATATCATAATTAATCATCTAAACTTTTGCTAGAACAATTCTAAGCTAATAGATACTCAATCGCTCCAATTAAGTAAATATAAGCTCTTTTAAGCAATTCATTAAACACCTTGTATGCGTACTTTTGTGAGTTAAACCACTTTAGTAAAGGGTTGTATCAACTCACCTCAAAACTCCTCGAGCCAATACGTAGGCCCAGTGCAATTGACACCAGTCAAACAATCGATTCTACAACAACCAGTGCATTTTAATTAATTTTAAAATTTCACACCTAAACATGAAATTTATTGTTGATATAGAGGAATAAGGGAATTAACTATTCAATTCTTATCTATTACTACTGTAGGGTAATTGACAATAGGGAATTTTATATACCTCAGTTCAAGAATTAATGATTTGTAAAGAACCCTAAATTTTCCGTTGTCTGGCTCTCTGTTTCGTGAGTGAACAGAACATGTTTTTGCCTTCTGTCTAGGGGTGTTCATAAAAATCCGAAAAACCGAACCAAACCGAAAACCAAACCAAACCGGCTAAAAACCGATACTTTTTGGTTTGGTTTGGTTTTGGTTTTGAAATTTAAAAACCGATCAAATTTGGTTTGGTTTTTGTTTTAATAAAAAAAATCGAACCAAACTGAATATAAGAGTAGCTATTTTAAATTTAGAATTACACCTATATATATGTATACTTTTATACAAAGTTTCAAAATTTTTATAGTAAATGTTAATCGTTTGCGCTTTTAGTACAGTTCTTTACCTTTACATTCTAGTTTGATTAGTAGTTTTCTTTTGTTAAGTGTAAGAATCTATTTTATGTTAAAAATAATATATTTTTAATTGAGTCCTTAAATTATTCATCACTATTTGATTCAATTATCATCAATATATCTGGGTAAATAATAAATTTCTCAAAGGGCAATTGATTTGATAGTGTTATGTTAAAAATGTGGTCGCCGAAATATGTATTTGGTAGTGTATGTCTTATATTTAAAAAAAACCGACAAATAACCGAAAAACCGACATAAAGCGAATCTAGAAAAAACCGGCTTAATTGGTTTGGTTTGGTTCTAATATTGTAAAAACCGACTTACTTGGTTTGGTTTCTTTTTAGGGAAAACCGATCTAAACCGAACCATGAACACCCCTACTTCTGTCCTTGTTTACGTGAATGACAGAACCAAGGTTCTGTTATTTTGCCTTCTGCCCTTTTTTTTACGTGAATGACAGAACCTTATTTTCCTAAGGCTTAAAGCCTTCGTTTCCCAACAGCCCATTTTATGGGCTTTAGGTCCTTTTTTTAAGGCTTTAGGCTTAAGTCCTTAAAATGTTGTGCTTTAGAATTTGGTTGTTTCCCAACAACATTTTACAGAAAGTAAATAACTTTAATAAATTAAATATACTCTGGCATGACACTAAATTATTAAATAACTAAAGATACCCTGACTAAAACTAAATTACTTCAGCAGCTAAGTATAATCTAGCAAGGACATAAATACGTGCTAACTTGTATTTAATAAATAAAATATAAATTTCAAACAAAACTTAGGTTCACATACCTTTTTCCTCAAATAAATATGGATATTTCTCTCTCATATCTTCCTCGACCTCCCATGTAGCCTTTTTCGAATCATGATTACTCCACAAAACCTTTACCGATGCTAAGTCTTTTTGTTCTCAACTTTCTTATTTGCCTATCGATAATTTCTATAGGTACCTCTTCATAAGTCAAGCCTTCTTTAATTTCTATGATATCGACAGGTATTATATGCGATTCATCATAAATGTACTTTCTAAGCATAGACACATGAAAGACAAGATGAACAGAGGACAACTCAACGGGCAAGGCTAGCTCATAATCCACGTTTCCCTTCTTTTGTATAATTTCATAAGGTCATAATTCTAGGACTAAGTTTTCCCTTCTTACCAAACCTCATAACTCCTTTCATTGGTGAAACATTCAAAAACACCTTGTTATCAACCATGAACTCTAAGTCACGATGCCTCTTGTCAGAATAGGATTTCTGACGACTCTGAGCCGCTTTTAGTCTTTCTCTGATTAGCTGAACTTTCTCTAAGGCCTCACAAACAAACTCTGGACCAATCAACGGTACCTCTGCTGGTTCAAACCAATCCACTGGTGACCTACATCTCTGCCCATACAATGTTTCACAAGGAGCCATACCAATGCTGGCCTGATAACTGTTATTGTAAGCAAATTCTTTAAGTGGCAAGTGATCATCCCAATTACCTCCAAATTCTATAACACATGCATGCAACATATCTTCAAGAGTCTGAATTGTCTTTTCTGCCTGACCATCAGTCTGTGGATGGAAAGTGGTGCTCAAATTGACCTTGGTACCTAATCTTTTCTGAAATGCTTGCCAAAAATGCGCTGTGAACTGAGGGCCTCTGTCAGATATGATTGAATCTGGAGTATCATGCAATTGGACTATTTCTTTGATGTACAATTGCGCATACTGCTCTACGAAATCTGTCGTCTTTACTGGTAGGAAATGCGCAGACTTTATCAGTCGGTCTACAATAACCCAAATTGAATCATGCTTACGGTATGTGCGAGGTAGACCTACTACGAAATCCATATTAATCATCTCCCATTTCCACTGCGGTATTTCTATATCTTGAGCTAGGCCACCAGGCCTCTGATGCTCGGCTTTGACTTGCTGGCAATTCAAATATTTAGCCACATATTTGCTACTTGTTTCTTCATGCCTTTCTACCAATACAGCTCTTTCAAATCTAGATACATTTTGGTAGTACCTGGGTGGATAGAGTACCTCGAACTGTGAGCTTCCTCCATTATGGACTTCCTAAGACCATCTACATCAGGCATACATAACCGATCATTCAACTTTAAAGCTCCATCATTTCCTAGAGTGAAATCAGTGATTTCTTTGTTTCTAACTACTTCTTTTAACTTCACTAAGTACGGATCTTTGTCTTGCTTATCCTTAACATGCGCAACTAAAGAGGATTGCGCTAAGGTATAAACATCTATACCTCCTTCTTCGGTCTCATCCAGTCTAATGCCATCATTTGCCAGTTTTTGAATTTCTCGACCTAAAGTTTGCCTTTGCACTACAAGATGGCTCAAGACACCCATTGACTTCCTACTAAGTGCATCTGCTACCACATTAGCTTTATGTACTAGAGGATTTTGTGATTTGTAAACACTTCAGAATGCTCGCCATAAAGGCAATGTCGCCATATCTTTAATGCAAACACCAATGCTGCAAGCTCCAAGTCATATGCGGGGTAGTTCTTTTCATGGTTCTTTAACTGCATGGAAGCATAAGCAATAACTTTTCCATTTTGCATAAGAACGCAACCGAGACCAATTCTGAAGGCATCACAATACACTGTGAACCCACCCGAACCTATCGGCAAGGTTAATACAGGTGCAGTGATCAACCTCTTCTTTAACTCTTGAAAACTCTACTCACAAGCGTCTGACCACTGGAACTTAACTGCTTTCTGGGTCAACTTAGTTAATGGAGCTGCAAGTGAAGAAAACCCCTCTACAAACCTTCTATAGTAGCCAGCTAACCCCAAGAAACTTCTGATTTTGGTTGGTGTTGTCGGCCTTGGCCAGTTTTTGACTGCTTCTGTCTTCTGAGGGTCTACTTTTATGCCTTCACTCTATACCACGTGGCCTAAGAATGCCACTGACTGCAACCAGAACTCACATTTTAAAAACTTGGCATAAAGCTCATTCTCCTTCAAAGTCGGCAAGGCTATTCTGAGGTGTTCTACATGATCTTCCTTGCTCTTAGAGTATACCAAAATATTGTCTATAAACACGATAATAAACGTATCAAGGAATGGCTTGAAAACTCTATTCATGAGGTCCATGAATGCAAATGGAGCATTTGTCAACCCGAAGGACATCACTAGAAATTCATAGTTCCCGTTGCGAGTTCTAAAGGTTGTTTTAGATATATCTTCTTCTCTGATTCTCACTTGATGGTACCCCGACCTCAAGTCTATTTTTGAAAATTACTTTGCACCCTGAAGTTGATCAAATAAATCATTAATCCTTGGCAGTGGGTACTTGTTCTTAATGGTAACTTCATTCAACTGCCGTTAGTCGACGCACATTTTGAGAGACCCATCTTTCTTCTTGACAAACAGGACCGGGGCACCCCACGATGAAACACTTGGCCTGATGAAGCCCTTGTCAAGAAGTCCTTTCAACTGTTCTCTCAACTCATTAAGTTCTACTGGAGCCATCCTATAAGGATGTATAGATATGGGCTGAGTGCCTAGCACGAGATCAATGCCAAAGTCTATGATTCTTTCAGGAGAAAGTCCGGGAAGGTCATCTGGGAGAACTTCTGGAAATTCTTTAACAACTGGCATAGACTGAAGCGCTAGTGGTTCTGATTCTGGATAATGATGTGAGCCAAATAGGCGAGACACCCCTTACTGATCATTCGTTGTCCCTTAAGGTAAGAAATAAACTTACGTATGAGCAATGCTGAACTACCCTTCCACTCTAAGACTTATTCATTTGGAAATTGGAACCTGACTATCTTAGCATGACAATCTAACATGGCATAGTAGGAAGACAACCAATCCATACACATGATCACATCAAAATCCACCATTTCTAATTATATGAGATCGGCCTTGGTGTGCGGACTTGGATTGAAACTATACAACCTCTATATACTCTTGTGACTTTCACTGACTCACCAACTGGAGTAGATACTAGGAATGGCTCACTAAGTTGTTCAGGTTCTAGACCGAGGTTAATTGAAAAGCATAGAGTCACATATGGAAACGTTGAACCTGGATCCATTATGGAATAAGCATTATGTGAGAAGACTAGAAGTATACTTGTAATAACTTCTGCAGATGCCTCTGCACTCTAACGATCAAGTGTAGAAAACAAACGAGGTTGTTCCCCCCTTGAGTAACTCGATCTGCACCTCTGCCTGCCCCATGCCCGGTCTGATTATGAGAACCACGAGCCTAAGGTGGTGCAACTACAGTAGCTGAGAAACTAGAAGGGCGAGTTGATCCACCACTGAGATTACGTTGCAACTTTGGGTAGTTGGCTTTTATATGACCAATGTCTCCACAATAAGAGCAACCATGAAACCCGAGCTTGCACTGACCTGAATGTTGCCGCTTACATGTTCTACAAAGACCTGGTTAGTGTGAATATTTCTCAGCATGACTCTGGATATGTGAGGATGATGTCCTAAAATTTTGATTTTGGCGAGACTGATTTCCATAACTCTAAGTACATCTGAAGGAAGACCCACTACCTGACTGATGACTGGACTGAGCTGGTGCTAATGACTCCTTATTAGAGGAATCCCTTCTACCTCCGCTGGATGTACTATTAAACATGCCCGCTGTCTAGGCTTTCTTGTTATGCTCTTTTTCTTCTCTCCTTTATTGTTTGTCTTTTTCTAAGTGTTTGGCGAATCCCACAACAGAGGAGAAAGCTATCATTCCTACCGCTGCACCTGATGTCGTATCCTTAATGTGGTAAGCCAAACCGCCAACAAACCTGCGAATCTTTGTTTTTTCTATCTTCACCATGTGAGGAGCATGCTTAGATAACCTTATGAATTCCATGTAGTACTCTTGCACACTTTTATTCCCTTGCTTGAGCTGTTCAAACTCTGTAGCCTTAGCTTCCTATCCTCTTCCGGGATAAAGTTAGCCATGAAGTCCTCCTCAAATTCTTCCCAAGTAGGCGGACCATCATTTTCATCTCTTTCCTTTTCCCACATCTCAAACCAAGCGTCGGCCACATCTTTAAGCTGGTAAGTAGCCAGCTCCACAGCTTCATCATCAAATGCTTTCATCGCTCAGAGGGCTTTCTTCACACCCTCCAGCCACAATATTGGATCTTCATCAACTATATTACCATGGAACACTGGAGGACTCAACTTCAAAAATTCATTCACTCTTAAGGACTCAAAATTGTTCTGTCTATTTGATTGAGGTGGAATCTCATCTCTTCTCTCGTTCTGGTTGGCCATGAAGGCTTGAAATATCTCCATAGCACTGTTGACTGCATTAAACATCTGACTCACCTCTAGAGATATAGATGTCTGAGCCGGAGCTGTTGTTAGGGGAGGCACTGGATCCTGAGGTACTTGCTCATCATTATCCACCCCTTCTTCACGTTCAACCCAGGGTACTTAGACCCCTTTTGTGGATCTACCCTTCCTTTTCTGAGTTAAAGCCTTCTTAGTTCTGCCTTGAGCCGCAATAGTAGCAATAGTTTCTTGAGCAACATCCTGAGTGTCGGTGTCAGTGTCAGAGTTACGAGTACGAGCCATTTCAGCAAGTTTTGAAGAAATGAATACATTAGATAGTTTCTTAGAGGTAAGATCTACTGCACGATCTAAAATATGAAAAAATGAAACTATTCGTAAATGCTTATAGCCTCCTGTTTATAAGTATGGCGCGCTTCATACCCATAAACAAGACTCTACTAACATGGCTTCATAGACGCCTAGGACTCCATAAACCTGGATTTGATACCAAGTTTGTCACGGGTCATTTCCTGAACAATCCACGACCGGCACTCGATCACTAAACATGACCGAGCGAACCCTCTCTGCTTATCAAATCTATTATAACTCTAAATTTTATATCCAACAAGGCAATACTCAAACCAAATACTTTTGATTAATTTAAATATTTGAATAAATAAACTCCAAAACTTTATTCGTAGTAACTACTAGATTACTGCTAAGTTATTATCAAAAACATCTAAATCTTAACGCAACGACTATGTCTATGAAGCCTCTACTGATAAACTGACGCACTGCTCAGGACATGAGATTTCCTGGCCAGTTCTCTAAGTAAACAAAGAAATAAATAAATAAAGATGACTCTAAGGAATACCCCACGAACAAAAGCGGAGCTCACCACTAGCACTGGAAGAGAAAGAAGTTCTAACCCGTAGCTTGCTCGACTGCAAAATCGGTTCCTACGTTGTACCGCAAACTAACGTAGGTTCCTAAGAGAGAACGTCAATACCATCCATTGTACTCAGTGAGTCTCAACAACAGGAGACGAAACTTTGATAACATATACATTAAGAGCAAAGGTTCTAAATGCACGTAAAACATAAAGCTTATACGAATAATTCTAAATAATTGCATAATAGCAGTTTATGAATATTCTAAAAGAGATTCTTTTCTTTTTCTTTCTTATAAAAAAAATACTTCACTTTATACTTTGGGAGTTCCAACTATCCTAACATGTTTCTGTCTTAGTCACCGTGTGATCGGCACGAGTTCGATCCCAACCTGATCGAATAGGCCCAATCCACTAGGTGTCACTCGCTTCATGGTTCTCAGCGCTCATGTATCATATCTTAACTTAGCTAAGTAATTTATCAACAATGAGACCCTCGGCTCGCGTGCTCCCTACTTTGGCACAAGTAGTTTCGGGAAGTCAACGTCTTGGTCAGGACCCCCAGCCTGGACGATGGCCCCTTCTCAGAATAAAGGATACTCCCAAAAATCTTTTCTTTCTAAAACTTCTTCTTGTGACTCTTCAAGTTTAAATCTTTTCTAGAACATCCAATACATACTCTTACTAGTATCCTTAAATGTAAAGCTTTTTAATTGATGCGCGCTTGTCTATACAATTTGTATATTAGGTTTATGCATATAATACCCACAGATACATGTAATGATGTGCTTATATTATTAAGCAATGGCATTACTTGTTATATCTTGTGTTTCCACTAGTTAAAGATAATAGAAAAGAGTGGCGATGACAGTATAGTAGTGCACTATTTGCAATTGTTTCAATTAAATAGAATTTCAGCACATGTTGTAGTCTGTTGTAGTATTAGTTTCCATCTCATTTGATAAGTGGACTTCATCATCAATTCTTTGTCTTCTACTCAACTATATTATTGGGAAATACTTCTGTAATGATCTCCACTTCAAGTACATCGAATAAGGGCTGATTTAGGTCATATGTATCCAAGTTTGACATCCTTAAATACAAATTTTCTACTAACCAGACCATTGCTTATTCCAAATAGTGGTATAAACTTATCTGGTTTAAAGCTCGGACTTAGATGAAATAAATATCTAAAAGTATTTCTAAAGATTCTTG